TGAAACTTGCCCTTGACCAGAGAGTAGCTAAAGCAAATGGAAGAGATGACAAGATAAGAGAACTGAATAGAAGATTTCAAAGAGCAGCTTGAGCAGACAAAACCAATTACTATAATGAAATGTGCAAAGACCTGGAGTTTGAAAACCAAAAGGGAAGAACACACTCAGCATTTCTCAAGCTAAAAGAATTCAAGAAAAAATTTAAGCCTCGGGTTGCAATATTGAGAGATTCAATGGGCAAAATAGAGAATGATGCAGGAAATATCAAGAGAAGATGGCAGGAATGCACAGAGTCACTGTACCAAAAGGAACTGGTCAATCTTCATCCATTTCAGGAAGTGGCAAAAGATCTAGAACCAATGGTACTGAAGGAGGAAGTCGAAGCTGCAATGAAAGAATTGGTGAAGAACAAGGCTCTGGGAATTGACAGAATGCCGATTGAGATATTTCAACAAATGGATGCCCCATTGGAGGCACTTAATCGGTTATGCCAAGAGATTTGGAAGACAGTTACCTGGCCAACTGACTGGAAGAGATGCATATTTGTACCCATTCCAAAGAAAGGTGATCCCACAGATTGTGGAAATTATAGAACAATATCATTAATATCGCACGCAAGTAAGATCTTACTGAAGATAATTCAAAACCAGTTGCAGCAGTATATTGACAGAGAATTTCCAGAGGTGCAAGCTGGATTCAGAAGAGGACATGGAACGGGAGATGCTGCTGTCAGATGGATCTTGGCTCAAGGCAAAGAATACCAGAAAGATGTCTACCTGTGTTTCATGGACTATGCAAAGGCATTTGATTGTGTGGATCATGACAAATAATGGATAACATTGAGAATAATAGGAATTCCTGAACACTTGATAGTACTCATGAGGAACCTGTACCTTGACCAGGAGGCTGTCATTTGAATGGAACAAGGGAACACTACATGGTTTAAAATCAAGAAAAGGGGATATTTCAGGGTTGTATCCTTTCCCCACACTTATTCAATCTATATGCTGAGCATATAATCCGAGAAGCTGGACTATGTGAAGAAAAATGTGGCATCAGGATTGGAGGAACAATCATTAACAACCTGAGATACACAGACTATATAACTTTGCTTGCTGAAAGTGAGGATGACTTGAGGCACTTACTGATGAAGGTTGAAGAATACAGTTTGCAGTATGGATTACATCTCAATATAAAGAAAACAAAAATCCTCACAACTGGACCAATGAGTGGCATCACAATGAATGGAGAGAGGATTGAGGTTGTCAAAGAATTCACATTGCTTGGTTCTACAATTGATGCCAATGGAAGCAGCAGTCAAGACATTAGATGATGTGTAGCACTGGGTTGGTCAACCGCAAAGGAACTGTTTCAAGTGTGGAGGGGCAAGGATGTCTCCTTGAGGACTAAGGTGATTCTGACATAAGCCATGATATTTCTAATTGCCTTGTATGCATGTGATAGCTGGACAATGAATAAGGAAGGCCAAAGAAGAGTTGATGCTTTTGAATTGTGCTGGCGAAGAATGCTGAAAGTACCATGGACTGCTTAAAAAACTAACAGATCTGTCCTAGAGGAAGTGCACCCAAAATGCTCCTTGGAAGAGAGAATGGTCAGACTTCGTCTCACCTATTTTGGTCATGTTGTCAGAAGGGACCATTCCCTGGAGAAGGATGTCATGCTTGGTAAGGTGGAGGGTCAACAAAAGAGGTGAAGGCCTTCAACAAGATGGATTGACACAGTGGCTGTGATGATGGGCTCAAGTATAGCAAGGATCATGGAGCTGACACGGAATCAGGCAGTGTTTCGTTCTGATGTGCATGGGGTCGCTATGAGTCAGAAGCAACTCGACAGCACCTAATAACAACAACACAACAATCTATAATGGAGCACCATGAGGAAAAATAGTCTCTCTGCTGTGGCTGATACATCTTCCTTACATCCAGCACCACCCCAATCCTACTCTCCAGGTGCCTGGCTCTGCATTTCTAAAGGTTCCTTTAATGTTCCACATCTGTACACATCCTCACCTTCCCACCCTGTCCTTCTGAACTGACTCAAGTGTGTCCTTACTACTTGTCATTAAAAGATGCTAACTAGTCATTTAAACTTTAATTTACTTTATGAAGTGCTATGTTGAGCCTGGGAACTGGGTTTTCAACTCAAGTATAACATGAATAAAAAGGAGGAGACGAAGGAGCAGGAGGAGGAAGAAGAAAAAGAGGAAAACGTGAGTGGAGAGGGAAGAGGAAGGAAAGGTGAAAGGAAAAGAAAGTTGTTTAAGATAAATCATATCATAAATAATTTGGTGTATTTTGGGGGTTAATATGCAAAAAATGGGGGAAAAACACAATAGATTATCCTTGAGCTCTCACTGGACAAAAAACAAACATGTATTTCACAAAATTCATGAAAGGTCGATCTCAAAGAATCTCAATTAAGTTTAATGAGATTTTCTTAAGAAAAATGAAAGAAGGAAAGAGAAACAGCTATATTGCAGATATTAAACATTTAGAACTCTTGAAGAAAATGTCTAGATAGAAAATTCTAAAGAAGTTGGATTATTATTTAGGTAAAAATATTGAAGATTATTTCAGAAATACTATGCTCTGTGTTATATCTGATATAATAGTATATTATTACAATATAAGATATCATATAGCTCATATATATACATATACATACACACACACACACACACACACACACATATATATACACACACACCTACTTCTCACTTATGAACTATTTCATTGTCTGACATTTCACATTTTTGACAACAGTGAAAAAATTTACTATCTACATTTTGTGCATTAATGATGTATGTCACATGAGGTAACAGTAATGCTGGCTATGATGGTTAAGATTATGTGTCAACTTGGCTGGGCTTGATTCTCAATAGTTTGGCAGTTATGTAATGATGAAATTAGCCTCTATGTGATGATGTAATTTAGCAGTTATGCAATGATATAACCATCCTACATTTTTTTTATCTTATGAGGTCATCCTCCTTTTTTACAAAATGCTGATTTTCATATAACAACCTGATCTTTGGAACCTAAGCATGCCAATAAGTGAGGAGTGGGTGTATATATATTCTTTATATATGGAGAGAGCAAGAGAGAGAATTTTGTGTACTATTAATCATGGGAGGAGCTCTGGTAGCATAGTGGCTAAAGCACTTGACTGCTAACCAGAAGGCTGGTGGTTCAAACCCACCAGCCCCTCCTTGGAAGAAAGGTTGGGCAGTCCTCCTTCCATAGTGATACTGCCTCAGAAACCCAAGGAGGGGTCGCTATGAGTTGGGGCCGACTCGACGGCACATAACAGCAACAACAACAATTAATCATGGGAGTACACATGTTTAAATTTATCAGTATCTGTTGTGAGTTCTGAGGAGGCAGATTTCAGTTTAGTTTAGTATTGTCAGGTGTTAGGTCCTAAGAAAGGTGCCCCTATAGGGGCCCTTGGTGATGTGCTTTGGAGAGGTATGAGGAGTCTTTGTTATAAATGTAGCTATTTTAGTCTTAGTTTCACCATGAGAGTGATAGAGATAAAGATAAAATTGAAGCTGTTTCAGGAACGACAGAGAGAATATGTGAAGGTGCATTAGATTCAATCTGCTTTGAATAAAAAATGAGCCTAGGGAATCAAGCAAGGGATACTTGAGAAGTATTCCTAACTTGTGATAGTCTCCATGCAGTTAACTAAGATATTCCAGCAGAAGTCAACTACAAGCTAACAGGCAATATAGATAGCCATACCATATAGGGCAAACTAAATTATGCATTTGTTATTAAAAAGAACAAAAAATAACCTGAATATAAATGTATATTTTATATTACTCAGTGTATAACAAGCATATCAAGTAGGAAAGTCCAGGAAGAGAGTTGCCCACCTCTCCCCCATGCCTCAGTAAGTTAATGCATTATAAAGAATAGTAACAGTCTATCTTCTACTATAAAAACTTTTGAAATAGTCTTTCCAGTGGGGATAATAGAAAATTAAAGACTACCTTGATCACAAAGATGTTCCCAACTTTTTACATCTATGTACCTTGCACATGGGAAGCATTAATGCATGTTATTGGGTGACTCTTGAATCAATTTGTATCAAGGTGAATGTCTATTCACAAAGATCCAGGGTGAAGTGCATAGCTTTGTTTCTCATCTCCATCATCCAAGGACTATAGCAGCCATTTATTCATTCAAACAATGCACATGTATGCAGTGAATGGCTATTGCATGCAAGACACTCTCCTAGATTCTGTGAATGCAATGAAGAAAAAGAAAGAAAAAAATGTCCTGGCCCTAATATCTATAGTGAAGGAAAATATTAATTAGAAAACTATTAAATTTGTTAATGGGATAAATGTTACAAAGGAAATCTTGGCAACATCAAAAATTTAACATTTCTTGTTGAAAGCACCTAGCTTTATACTAACAAGTGGAAAAATCTGTATTTCCCAAACTATAGAATTTAATAGTGTAGTTCCTAAGGCACTTGCCTGCTAACCAGACGGCTAGAGGTTCAAACCCACCAGCCACTTCTCAGAAGGAAGGTTGGGAAATCTACTTCTGTAGTGATACTGCCTCGAAAACCCAAGAGGGATTGCTATAAGTCAGGTCTGACTCTATGGCACATAACAACAACAACAACATAGAATTTAATAAGATATGCAGTTTTCTGGATGCCTTTTCCAGAGATGGTAAAGGAATCATTGTTAACATAGTGTGCACTAAATCACCAGCCACAGCTGACACGATCCACAACCAGTCATATGAAACTCTCTGAATATCCCTAATATGTCTGTTTCTCTCAATAATTTTATTCAATCTGACAGTTCCTGCCTTTCCTCCCACTCCCCAGTTTCACCTCTGGAAGTTGATGGAAATTTTTATAAATTAAGATAAACAGGTTATGAAAGAGCTGCAGAAAAAGCAAGACTTACCCCAATGTGGTAGAAACCATAAAGCTGAAAAGGCAGGCTGACTTACCACTGTATAAATCTGATGCTTTCGTCTTTTAGCGAGGTCAATTATGTTTACTCCATTGTAGTAAAGGTTTTCGATGCATCCATGGAAGTTTTTCTTTAAAAAGGTCCCAGGTTTGCCTGGTACTGGAATTCCTCCAAAACTAAGCTTTATGGAAGGAAAAATTAAAGTCAACTCTTAGTTATAAGCTCTAGAGGAATAAGAAAGGCAAATAAACAAGTGTATTTCAGTAGATTCAATTGTATGCAAGAGCCAAGTGGCTCAAGTAATTATAGATGCTACTTGATTGCACATTTAAAAGGCTACTGATTAGACCATAAAAATAACTATAATTGCTTGCTCTTTAAGGGATTAATTTACAAAACCATTTTACTTCTTTTCTAGACTCTTTTAATACTAAAAAAAAAAATAATAATAATAATAATTTTCATGAGAGAAAAAGGGACAGTTAATCAACGTCTTTTTATTTATCTCATCCACAAATATCTTAGAGAATATGATCAAACTAAAGCCAAGAGACTATATGTATATATATGCCCTCTATTCAGCTGCAGAGAGACCTAGTTACAAACTCTAGTTTTACTGAAAAAGCCTTGTGCACAAAGTTGTCTCCAAATTGTTATTTATAAAGATGACATATAGGAATTCATCTAAATGTCCAATTTGGTTTAGTAAAGCAAGTAATGCTTATTTATTATAGAATGGAAAACTACTGAAATGCTGGTTGAAAATGCAAGAGTTACAATTAGGTAGAAATATGGCAGTAACAAAATGTTTTCTGAACATGTAGACTAAAAGGAAATACATGGAATTTTAAATGGTGGTTGTCTCTACAAGAGATATGGGATATCAGTTTTCTTTACTTTCCAGTATTTTATAAATTAAGAAAAAATACACAGTTTAAAAATAATATGTGTTTTCTTTCTACTGAACATGAAGAGCAAGATTATTTTTTCAACTGTGTCTTCCCCAGCTCCATCTCATCACTAACCCAGTTTTGATCTCCTGTTTTGAAATGTTCCATTCAGCACAAATTTAAAGTATTATGATGCTTGGGGATGTTTCAGTAGGATGTGTTCTCCCAATTAGAATGACTTTTCTTCATATCAAGCATTTGACAGCTAACCAGAAGCCTGGAGATTCAAACCCATCAGCCATTCCTCAGAAAGAAGATTGGGCAATCTGTTTCCGTAGAGATACCATCTTGGAAACCCAAGGAGGGGTTGCTATGAGTTGGAAATGACTTAATAGCTGTTAAGGTGTTTTTTGTTTGTTTGTTTGTTTTTGTTTTAGGTATGGAAACGGCTACTTTTAGGTGTCCATTTTTATTTCCATAAGTTCCATACTATTTGAAAGAGATATTTCTCAGTACTTTGTAATTGGTGATAAACATCATTAATCTTTCTGCTCACTTTTTACTTAGCAATGCTTTTCATCTTTAAGATAATTATTTAATAATCTTGCTGATTTTATTTTAAATTTAATGTCAGAATAAGTTTTATTTAACAGAGCCTGTTGGAATTTTGGCAGAGAATGCATGATTTCAATTAACACATTTACTTGGAGAAGAATGGATATCTTTTTTTAATATTTCATCTTCTAATCCAAGACCTGGTGTCTTTTTCTCTTTTCAAATTGCCTGAAACGGCCCCTCACTTAAGGTTAACAATTTATTTTCCTACCTTATGTGGTCTTCAGGAGATGAATTTCTATGAATGTCATGTTTCAAAATATTTCCATTGTAAAAAATTGTGCTCACCCATGAAATGACTTATTAAGTAATTATACACCCATCTTATTATGGTTAATTTTCCTTTATCCAAATATTTTATATGTATTTTATATATACATACATATATATATATATATATATATATATATATATATTAAAACACTTCACTCATGATTTATTGGTCGCTGATGCATAACAATGCATATCTGCCCAGCTACCAAAGGTTTCTGTCCCTCAGTGAGAACTTGAAAGTTAGTATCATATGACTAATACAAAACTCTTGTCAATGCCAAATTTTTCCAAAAATCCCCCATCAAGGGTTAGTGTTTGCTCCCCTCCATGTGATTGGAACTTAAAATGTGATTATATATTATATCCTCCACATGGTTTGTCTTATAGCAAAGAGTTTCTACCTCAAGTCCTCGAGGCACTACTTTTTGCTATTTAAAAGGAACCATGTACCTTTGGTAGCTGGGCAGATATGCATTGTTATTAGTTGCCATTGAAATGATTTTTTCCCTTATTTCTTTGGCTTGGTTAAGGTTCCTATGGCCTAGCTAAAACTTCTTAAGCAAAATTAAATCATAACAATGATAAAAACCTTTGTATTAAAAAAAAAAAAAAAAAAAAAACAAGAAAGGCATTAATTCTAATGTATTTTCCAAGTACACATAATACTGATTATGACTACATATCACTTTACAGAGATTGTACTCTATTCCATTTTACATATAAATCACATATTTATCTATTTAAAAATTAGTGGTGGCGGTCGGGGGGAACTCACTGCCATCCAGTAGAACCCGACTCATAGCGACTGCTCCTTGGGTTTCCCAGGTGCTATCACTACGGAAGTAGATTGCCCAGTCATCCCTCCAAGGAGTGGCTAGTGGGTTTGAACCAGCAGCCTTCTGGTTAGCAGTCAAATGTCTTAGGCACTATGCTACCAGACTGCCAATTAAATTCATTGGTTTTTCAGGATTCCCTATGATATAATACAGGTTTTATATTTAGTTCTGATGTTTCATTTACATTGCTGTTGTTTTGTGCCCTTACTCAATTTCTACTCATAGCCACACCATAGGACAGAGTAGAACAGTCTATTAGGGTTTCCAGAGCTGTAAATCTTTACAGAAGCACCTAGTGTGTTCTAACCACTTACCTTTCAGTTGGCAGTCAACTGCTTAACCACTGTGCTATCAGGGCTCCTTTTAATTATGTCAATAGATGCATGATTTAATAGATTCCTATCTATTGAAATTTACTTGCATTTTAGTTGTCTTGAAATAAGTGTTCTTAAATTTTAAGTTCTAAATGAATTTGAGCTCTAGTTTCTTTTTCTGTCTAGTATTTAGATCAAGTCTATATCTGCTTCTAAGAAAAACAAAGAGATTTTAACTTTGAACATATTTTTAAATGATTCCTAAAACTTTGAAAACACTAAAAGAATTTTCCAATTAACATCTTAAATCCAAGATATTTTGTAAAAATATTTATCTGTTACTTAACAGAAATATCCTCCATTGATTTATTACAGATTGAAATATTAATTTGAGCATTTATATTTAAAGAGTAATCCATTTCTAATTTGTAAATTGTTTTTACAAATTTAATTTGTATTGTAGAATATAAATACAATCACGTATCTGTTAGTTTTATTTATTCACTTTTAAAATTTTAAATTCATAGTGACAATTATACTCATTTTATTTTTATGTTGCTCACCTCTCTCAATTTGTACTATACTCAGTTATGATTTATGAAAGTATTAATTGACAGGTTATAATATTTGAAAAAAAGGAAAAATGGATAAAAACATTCCTTAAAATAGCAAAACTTAGTGTCCGGAGGACTTGGGGTAGAAATTCTTTGCTATAAGCTACACCATGTAGAGGATATCATATATGATAACATTTTAAGTTCCCATCACACGGAGAGGAGCAAACACTAACCCTTGATGGAGGATTTGTGGAAAAATTTGGCATTGACAAGAGTATCACATTAGTCATAGGATACTAGCTTTCAAGTCCTTGCTGAGGGACAGAAACCTTTGGTAGCTGGGCAGATATGCATTGTGATTAGTTGTCATTGAGTTGATCTCAACTTTTGGAGACCCCATCTGTGCAGAGTAGAATTCCTCCATGAGTTTTCACAGCTGTGACCTTTTGGTAGCAGATTGCCATGTCTGGCTTCTAAGATACCCCTGGGTGGGTTCAAATCATTAACCTTTTGCCTAGTAGTCTAACACATAACCATTTAAACTACCACTCAGGGACGCCAAGGGTGTGGCTAGAAGTCCCATGATAGATTTTGGAAAACAGAGAGGGTGCTTTGGCTCTATTTCCATAGCTCTGATGCTTCAAGACTATTAGAGATACCTCAGTTCTTGTTTTAAAATTACTTAATCACTCTAGCATAGTGCAAGGTAGGCTGCCGAGGACTTTCATGTTTGCAGAGTAGGATGGGTGGTGTGGATGTCTGAGGCTGTGAATTAGTGCATAATGCACTGGTAGCTGGGTTTGAAGCCTGGGAGACCATGTTACAGACCAGGGAAAACAGCAACAGCAGGAACTGACACCTGATACCCATGCCCAAAATTCAGGATTAGACCATTGGAAAACTTTCATAATGAGGACAGCACAGGTACAAGGCATGGCTCTCTGTTGCAGGATAATATCCAAGTTACCAGCTAGTAATTTTTCCAGGAAAAAAAAAAAAAGAAGAAGGAAAAACGGGAAATAAAATAAATCTCATTTCAAGGGAATATTTACATTACAGTACACTAAGGTATAAAACTACATTAACTAAGTTATCATTTATCATCAAGATTAGATGTTTCTGCCATCAGAAGAAATGAAAGCTGATAAGTGTATTGAATTCAGTTAGGGAGAAGAAACAAAGTTAAGTTTCTATACATTTGAGTTTGAGTATAAAGGTTCAACTTGCTTTATAATTTCAAATATTTCAAGTACTTTAAGATTTGCAGCTATAATTATGCTATTAAATTATAAATTTAATTTGGTATCAGATAAGATAGACTGGAAAAAATGTGCTTTATATACTGATATTTTCTTTCCAACAAATATAGTATTGATTTTTCTAAATATTTCATAAATATTTGTAGGCTAAATTCTCTAGTAGCACAGTGCCTAGGGCACTTGACTGCTAACCAGAAGGCTGGTGGTTCAAACCCACCAGCCACTCCTTGGAAGGAAGATGGGGCAATCTACTTCCATAGTAATACTGCATCAGAAACCCAAGGAGGGTTTTGGTCTGACTCGACGGCACATAACAACAAACAACAACAAATCTGCTGTATACATATTAAACCCCTTGCCGTTGAATTCATTCCAATTTATAACAACCCTATAGAACAGAGTAGAATTGCCCCATAGGATTTCCAAGGCTATAATCT